GGGTCGTGAGAATGTCGGCGGCCGAGGAAGGCGGTTTGCTGGTGCGCCCTTTCAAGCTCATCGCGCTGCTCTGCGCCTTCCTGGCGCTGGCCCTGGACGTGGCGGCACTCCTGAGCCCCGCCTGGGTCACGTCGGAACGCTACTCGCTCTCCCTCTGGAAAGAGTGTAGGCAACTCCCGGGCGGTTGGCAATGCTTCTCCACCCTCCGAACCGGTAAGCGGTGCCCGGGGACGGAAGGCTGCGGCTGGGAGGATGCGCGCGCCAAAGTCCGGGTCGTTGGAGGCGCTCGGCTGCTCGGGGGGTTGTTAAAGTTTGGCGCAGCATCGTGTGTGAAACTTCAGCCCATGAAAGCCGATGTCCTTCTTCGGGTCTGTCTTCTTTTTCGAAAAGTTAAGGACAGGACTCCCCTTAAAAAGTGTGATAGACTAGGATATTACAAGCTGGATCCTAAGCAATAGTTTGCTTAACCGCAGCTTTGTGATTTAGCCACAGTTGGCCAGGTTCACACATTGCCCCGGCCATAAACCTCAGCTTGCAAACCACAGGGGCCAGATCCACTTGGCATGCCAAGCCATAATCAAGGAAAGTACACAGTGGTTTAATTTGATCAGTGAACCCTGCTAAGTTCAGATGGACAACTGTTGCTCAATCAATCAATCAATCAATCAATCAATCATTCATACTTTTGTCTGCATAGACAACATTTTAATGGCAGATATGGGCACCAGAAACATCCTAATAGAAAACGAACTAACCACCCCAATTTCTCCTGTGGTTTTTCTAGCTGGACCAATTCTGGCGGTGGGATTTTGACTGGTTTATAACTTTGCCCCAACTCCAAGATTTCATTTTTTTCAAATGACGTCCAGTTACATGCCTTTAGGATCAATGATGCTGCTTCGTATGTTTAGACTCTGTATTTAATAGTACTTCTACCTCCCCCCCCTTTTTTTTTATATGGTAATTTGCATTCTTTGGTTGGGGTTTTTCCTTTGCAGCATCTCCTCCTTCTCATTTTCCTGGCTGAGCCCTGAGACCTCGATGGCAGACAGAAACTTACTGGTACTGGGATCCTTCACATAGATATGGGGGGAAGATTTTGTCTGGCAAGATTTCTATCTTTAACAGCTGCTGTTAAAAGTGCAGAGTCTCCATCAGAAAGTGGGAGAAAGCGAACCCTCACCTGATCTTGGGTTCCAGGCCTGAATATTATGAGACCCCTGTATCGTTTCCATAGTTGGAAAGCCACGTACACTGATTTTCTCTAAGAACACATGTAGTTCCCACCTTCCTCCAAAGATTTGGAGTAGCACGTGTGACTCTCCCCATTTCCCCTTCCTGACTGATCCTGGCAACAATCCAGTAAGATAGGCAAGAACATTCCTTCTCCATGACTTTTTCCTCCAGCAAACAGGAGTTCTTAAAGCTAAAAGGATATTTTATTCTCTGTGTGGAGTCAGTTCACCATTGTTGATTCACTGGATGTGTCACCCAACACATCTGGATGACAATGGAATTGCCTTCATGTCTAGTTTGTGGGCTTCCTGAATCTGGGCAAGAAACAAGATGCTGGTTAGGCTGTAGATCTGACCTCCAGACTTGTTCTTGGAGTCTTCTGGTTGTGGCTAAAAGGAAACTCCGTGTATAGAAATAATCTACCTCTGTATGTCAGGATGTGAAGTGAATACATAAGGGAAAACATCCTTTACCACTTGAGAGCTTCCTAGAAGCAAAATTGGTGGAGAAGAAACAAGATTGGTAGAGGTGGACCTTTGGTTTCATCCAGCAGGGCTTTTGGGATAGGGACCTGTTTCCTTGCACTGGTCAACCCTAACCACACATCCTGAGAGCTGCAGTCCAACCATCTTTGAGGCGCTATGGTTCCCCACCCCATGGAAGTCCTGTGTAGAAGAGGGAAGGGAAGGAACCCCACTCTTTCAAACATAGTATTAATTTGGAACATTTTTTTTTAAGCATCTGGTTCTTTGGCCATGAAAATTCTATGTGCAGTCGATTAAAAGAAGACACTCCAAAAATAACCTCCAAGGAGTTGGGGAAATTCAAGTTGTGCTCTCAGTCCTTATTTGCTGGGAGCTTGTTCCCTAGTTGGTCATTGGACAAATCAGGTCAAAGGGACCTCAAGTGGAAGAGAAGGCTCTGCCAGGAATGGAAATAAATCTTGGTTTACAAGCTGTTAAACAAACTTCTGTTGCAACCATATCCAAGGATGGTAACTCTTGATTCTTGGAACGCTGAATGTTTCTTCTTCTCTGTCCCAGATGAGCTGCTCCTACATTAAAAAAAAATATTCCAAGAAACTGGAGAGGACTGAAAGGCAGGGAAAACACAGCAGAGATGTTTTGCCTCCCTCTTCTTCTAAGGACCTTCAAAACAGCATCTGTTCTTCCCTCCTTATATCCTCTGTATAATCCCAGACCAGGGAGAAATTGGTTGGAGACATCCCACTCATGCAAACTGGGGTTTGGCTTTGATTTCAGAGATAGTTTGAACTCAGCCACTGTGGTTTATAAGACGTGCCTTATAGCTTAGCAAGTTGTGCAAACTCAGGCGATTGTGACTAATTCAGGAAACATGCTTAAACTGTCACTTAGCGTGTATCAGGCAAAGAGTGGACTAAAGTTACTGAATAAAACATCTAAAGAGGGTTTTGAACCTGTCTCCATTTATAATTCAGAGTTGTAGCCTCTCCCCTAACCAGCTCTTGAAGGTTCATCCAACTTCCCTAGGAAGTAGGCAACCAAGTGACCAATTTGTAGAATTGTCCAAACAGCCTGCAAGGGTACCCCCTTCTTCAGCACACTGCAGTTATCTAGCCTTAGAAAAGATGAGTGATGATTGCTGGAGGTAGATCTCCTGGAAAAATGTGCATCTTTAACACAAACCCTTGCTACAACATAGCCTTTAAAGGCAGAGTCAGGAATTCAGTCCTTGAAAGCTGAGTGTAAACATGTGATACATTACCTCCATTGTGGCACACTTGTTCGGCATCATCTTGTAGCATCTAAGTGACTATGGCTGATCTTTTAAAAGCTAAGCAGGGTTCAGCTGGTGGGTTTGTAGATGGGAGACATGAGGAAATGCCACAGCTGTAAGTTAGAATGGTAAGTTGGAAATGTTTCTCAGAAGAAGGCAATGGCAAAGCATTTGCATATTATTTTCAGAAAAACTACATTAATGTATATAGGAGTCAAGCTTGATTCAGGGAGCATTTGCTTTAACTAGCAGGTTCTCACTTACTATAATCCTTCAGTACAAGTTTTTGGTCTACATAACAACTCCAGTGCAAGTTTCTAGAGTAAAAGTTTGAGCCAAAACACACAGGCAAACATCTCGAACAAGAGAACAAGGGTTGGCACTCCCGTCTGTAAATTCTGTTTTCTTGGAAGAAAACCAGGAGACACAGTACAAGCAGGAGGGCAAGCACTAGGGGCCTGCTGCAAACTTTTATTTTTCTTTCTTTGCCGCAGTTCAAGCGTGCAAATTTGAAAGTGGGGCGGGGGAAGTGTGCCAATTTGTCTTGCATGGAGGCGGCTGTTGTTTAGGCTTGAGATGGGAGCAACAGATGTTTGAGATTGGCTACCCCCCCACCTCCACCCCATGCTTAAACTGGTGATTTATCTCTAGCCCATTGGCCGGCCACCTGCTTTGCTTCCCAAATCTTCTGCTACGTCCTCACATGCTTGGAGTAAGGCACAGAAGACCTTTTATTCAAAGAATGCAACTGGCGTTAGGTAATGTATCTCCCACAATAACCAGAAATGCTCGGATTTAATCCAGTGACTTCACTGTAGCTGGCAATTATTGAACAAATCTGGCCGATAGGAGATTGCAGATGGAGCAAGATGGATGTTCTGGTTGGAAAGGATAGAATGATTGTAGAACTTAAAAAGAAACATGGGAAATTAAGAAAGGACCCTTTCTAATCAATAAATCCCCAATTCATTTTTATCCATTTTCAGCAAAAAGCCCATAAAAGGTTTCCAGTGTTTTATAAAAGTAATTGTTATTCCCAGGTCTCATCCAAAGTTAATGCTTGGAAGTCCTTCTGTTTGAGGAGCATGAGAGAGGAGGCAGAATTTTTTGCAAAGAGGAGAGTAGCCAAGGATTGAAACAGGAAAGGCCATTGATAGTGAGGAATCCGAATATACAGACTGTTCCTTCTTCCTTTGCTTTATCACCTTGAATTTAAAATCAACAGGAGGTGGAGCCAAATTGTGATTTGATTTTCTTCAGTTCTGTGCCCTTACAGGAAGCATCTGTTTAGATGAAGTCTTTTCCAGCCTAGCTACCGCTCCTTTGAGACAAAGGAGTCCCTGTTCTTTCAATCACTTGCAAACCAGTGAGAAACTTCCTTCGCTTATTCCACAGTTAGCAACAGTGACCCTTCCTATGGATCTTGGATCGGCTTGTGAGTGACGTGTTCAGTGAGGCATACAGTTGGCTGGTAGAGCACCGAGACAACCGCTCCCCAGTTGAGAAGGACCAGAAGAGTTAGCTTTGGTGACCCAGTGATTCCCTGGAACTTTTAACACTTCTTTTAAATAGGAAGGTCCGAGGCAAAGGGTCCTGGGAACCGTCTCTTATTTTA